CAGCATAGGTCTCCCCAGACCGACCCACTGGCTGTGAACATTCTAAACTAACACGAGTCTCATTAAGTGTCCAGCTTAAGGGTATTACACAGAAACATACCAAGGGAACATGAATCAAATATGTACTTTTATTCATTTACAATAAACTCATAAAGTACATCATACTGATTGAAGCTAAGGGCATACAAAACTGTCTAACACCGACTCTTTTTTAAAGAGGGATTAGGGATATGGAATAAAAGGAGGAAAATAGGTCTTTGAGAGGTTGGTTACCCACCCAAGTATCTTCCCTAAAAGAACAGAATTACCAGAGTAGACATCATACCTTGCAAATCTGAGGAACTTTGGGAGAATGCCAGAGATTGCCTAAGGCCTTCGTTATGATGGGCCTAAGACCTCATTTTTATTATTTGTTCTTACAGCCACCCTATGAGGGGCATTCTTTTAATTTCTTCTTTAGTTATGTTTAGATTGAATAAAATTTGATTAGAGGGCTGGGGGACAACCACGATTTTTTCTTCCAAAGTCCTTCCTTCCTTCCTTCCTTCCTACTGTTTCAGATCAGTATCTCTTGATTTCTTTGATTGAATACACAGATTTATTGCAGTTTTGGTTGATAACTTGGTGTTAGAGCCAAGTCCTTTTCGTTTTCTCTCTTCTTTCAACCCATGCACTCTAGGATTAGCAGTGTGTATGGAGTACTAACTTGCTGATCATCTACAATTGATTTCACCTGGTTGGGAGAGGATTTAGGAGTATTGTTTGCTGCCTAGAAAGATTACTGGAGAGTTTTGCCCTAAATTTGAACCAACCTGAGAAGAGCCACTTTTTGGTTGCGATACCTAGGGAGACTTCCAGGCTGGCATTTTGTGGTTAAAAGCTTCCTGGTGGACCCTCATTGAGATCAATCTGCATTGGAAATTGTTTGGTGTTTACTGGATGGAGCGACTGAACTTTCTCCAATTTCTCCTAGGTCTTGAATTGAGGTATCTTGATCCAGGGAAGAATTGATTGTAGGTCAGTTGCTCTGGGGTTGTAAAACCTTGTTCTTGTTTACAGTAAAACTTCCAGTGATTTCCCAGTTAAAGAGGTCTGGTCAAGGCCAATTCCACTTAAAATTGCTGTTTTTTGTTGGGAAGTGTATTATGGTAAAATTAATACTGTGGACAATGTACAAAAAAGAGACCTTATTCATGCTTGTCCCCCAATTGGTGCATTTTATGTAAAGTGCAGAATGAGGACTGTTATCACCTACTGATTTCTTGCTCTTCTATTAGTAAATATTTGGAATTGGGTTTTTGTGCTGTTTGGGTACAGGTGGAACCTGCCTCTTGAAGTAAATCTGCTTTTTGATCCGTCTTTTTTTGGTTGGCCAATAAAGAGAGGGAAAGTAATGTGGAAATGTATTAGGGCAGCCCTCTTATGAACCATTTGGAGGAAAGAAATACCAGAATTTTCTAGAAGGAGAGAAGCATTTTTGAAATAAAGGATTGTATAATGACAAGGGCAATCCTTTGGTTAAAAACTACTGATCTCTTTGCTGATTACTTTAGTGATGACCTTCGAAGGAGTTGGGCAGCAGTGGCCTCCACATCATCCAAGAAAAATAGAACACAAGCAAGTTGGTTACCCCCTCCGGAAGGAGTTGTAAAGTTGAACTTTGATGGGAACAGTCAAGGCAATCCAGGACCTTCGGGTATAGGAGGGTTCTTGAGGAATAAGGATGGCAACATTCTGTCCTTATTCTCAGGTCTAATGGGTTATGGAGACTCTACAAGGGCTGAGATATTAGCTGTGGTACAAGGACTACAGATTTCCAACCAACTTGGAGTGACTAATTTGATAGTTAGGGGGCGTTCTTTTTTCGGATTTTGAGAGGGGGGAAAGTTGGTCAATGGGATTTTGGTTCCCATTGACCAAGAATCCCATGTTCTTTTTTCAGATTTATGTGGGGACCAGGGAAAGTTTATTTTCCTGCGTACCACTTACCTGGGTAAGTGATACCCATCTCCTAGGTGGGTAAATAACTTTCCCACCTAGGGGGAAAGTTGCCAACAATTGAATGAGACAAAAATGCCCCTTTTAATAATGGATTTTTATGGATAAAATGGTCATTGCCTTATTTACATGAGAAATAAAGAACACGGGTAAATGCACTTACCCGGGTAAGTAACTTACCGAAAAGCGAACAAGGCCTTAAAGGAGACTCTTAAGGTGATCGTGGGATGGATGTCGGACCCAGAAACTGTTGTTTGGGGATATAGGGACATCATCAAAAAAGTCAAATGGCTTACGAGAACCATGAAAAGAGTTGGGTTTGGAACCACCTTTAAGGGGAGGTAACACCTCGTGCCTCCTCATAGGGTGCTTCATGCTTGTACTATTTCTATCTCTATTTAATAAAATACCATTCATTCATAAAAAAAATATTCCAGTGATTTCTTGAATCAATGAAGCAATCTGGACTTGATTCCAAGCAATTTACAAATCTTGGAGTTGGTCCAGCAGGCGCTGTAGGCAATTTTTACAATCCTGTAACTACAGTAAAGCTGGATAGGACAAATTTCTTGGAGTGGACTCAATCCATGTGTATTTATGTGTGTAGTAGAGGGAAGCTAGGTTATGTTACAGGCTATAGTAAGAAACTTAAGGAGACCGATTCTTCTTATGAGTAGTTGATGCAAGAGAATTACATGGTAATTGGATGGCTTGTAAATTCGATGCAACCTCACATTAGTAAGCATTATTTGTTGATGTTCAAGCAAGGAAGTATGGGATAGTGTGGCTAAGACATATTCTCAGAAGATGGATTCAACCTCACATTAGTAACCATCTATATTCTGTCCTTCATTTCCTAGCCTTACTAACCTTCCCTTTTCCCTCTAGCTCTACAATTTTTTATCCCTAAGGTTTCATATACGTCCTCTACGACTACATTCACAACACACCCTTCAGCCTCCCTCCCCATAATCACCAGTGTGCTCCCTCAGTTCCCTCCTAAACCCAAAGCCAATTCTCCACCTCCCTTGTTACTAGAATCTACAACAACCTCCCAGTACTCCTTCCCAGTCTCTTCCAACTACCAATTCAGATTATCCTCCATTTGCTTCCAAATACTTTCACTCAACTCTCTATCTCTCTGTTTCCACCCCTCCCTCCAATCCATCCTCATTCTCATCAACAATTATTGTGGTATTTGGAGAGTTTTCCTTATCATACCAGTCTTGCCTGCCTTCAATGTTCACACAAGCAGTTCTATTGGCATATTTGAAGTCAAAGTAAGCAGTTGAAAGACCACGGCCTATCTGTAGATCAGGAATTTTGTTAGATGGCAGGGGAAGCCAAGTAATATAAGAGATCAGATCTGAAGGCAAGATAGGTCATGAATCTCAAACAATAAGTAATTGTTTTCTACAGGAGACTGACAAAGGCTTATGGTTGACTCCAATTTGAATTCAGAAACCGAAGGCATAAATCAATCCTTAGACTTCTCATCTATAGTACCACATTTGTCTTATGACAGTAATAACTTTGCTTTTTTTTATTATAATTTTTGTCTGTGTTGTACTCCTTTTTGAAAAATTAACTACATATAAGAAATGCCATGTAAATGCTGCTTGTTCTTGCAAAATAACATCTGCTGAATGTTATGCAAGTTTCTTCTGCTTTTTCGTCATTAGTAAGTTTATTAATTAATTTATTTATTGTCACCAGGAAGCCTCCCCTTCTCAGGTTGCTTCTGCAGCTACACTGTCTGTAGCATTTATGGAAGCTCTTGCTACGGTGCTCCAGAGTTTCAGCAATCAGTACAGGTATGTTATTTGTTTCCTACTTCTCTATGATAATAGAATATGGTATGGGCCGTATGGCATGTCATAGCTCAGGTAAAAACTTTAGTTGTAAAAACAGGCCACAGGAAACATAACATTTTTTTTGATTCACCATTACATTCATATGATTATTTTAGACACTGTTATGTGATTAGATCATCGTCATCATCATCCAAGCCTTGTCCCAACTATATGGGATCAGATACATGAATCTTGTTTTTCCATTCCATTCTATTCAGTGTCATACCCATTGTTAAATATGGGCGCTTGAGTGATTTCTTATTACTTTCACCCAAGTCCTTTCTGGTTTGCCCCTAGCTCTTCTAGCCCCTTCAACTTGTAGCAGATCCCTTTTCTTAACAGGTGCTGTAGTAGGTCTTCTATGCACGTAACCAAACCATTTCAATCTACTTTCTCTCATTTTATAACCTATCGGAGCTTCTCTTATGTTATTAGATAATGCAAAGAAAAGCAAAACGTAGGTTTGTCAATGCTTTCACAGTGGGAGTTGAGGAGTCCATTAGATTCACCCATTTGGTATACAATTGTTCATTTCTTAATCACCTGGTATGCCAAATCCAAGTCCATTCCTTTTGGATAGCATCATTTTTTGCTCTGTCTTGTGATTAACCTATGAAATATATTGTCCAAACTGACAAGATGGTTGTTTGTGATACAATACTTCTTTCTGTGTACAGCTTTACATGCTTGTGTAAGTTTGCTTGTTCATGTTCTTGTTTCAATTACTTGAGTTTTGATTGGTTCATTCTGCAGCTTGGAGGATGCTTCTGGCTTCTTTGTTTCACTACTTTTTGGTCTAGGGCCATTTTTTGGTGGTGTCTCGCTTATTGCATTTGCTATTGCCTTCCATCTTCAACATGCTCTTCTCACTGGTGTGGCTTCTGGCATTGCCTTTGCCCTTGCTGCCTGGCGCCCACTACAATTACTCGCCTCTTCAAAGATGGGCTTCTTCCCACTTCTGTTACTCCTTGTGATGGGTGCTCTCTTATTTCGCACTTCAACATCCGGCATTTTGAAGCTTGCAAGCCACAAAAAAGCTTCAGTGAATGAATTGTCAGGCGCTTCAGGTTTTATAGTGAGTGCTCTCACCCTACAGTCATTCTTGGCATGTGGGGCCGTTGGTTTGCATGCTTTGGTGGAGGGCCTTGCACTGGGAGTGGCTGCACCAAAAGCTTATGGGCTGGGGCGGCACATGGTCCTTCCTGTCTCCTTACATGGACTTCCTCGAGGAGCTGCAGTTGCCAGCTGCATATTTGGTGCTACTGACAGCTGGCGTGCAGCACTGGCAGCTGCCACCCTAACTGGATTTGCTGGTCCAGTCTCAGCAATTGGAGCAATTCTTGCTGGAATTGACTACAGTGGGCTTGACCACTTGATGGTCTTTGCATGTGGAACATTAGTCCCGAGCTTTGGGAGCATAATCCAACGTGCAGTTAAATTGGATGTTCGGAAGAGCAGTGTTGGGTTTTTGGTGGGTATGGGATTTGCAATAGTTTGCTTATTGTCCACACGATTAGTTTGCTTACACACTCCTTACTGCAATTCTGCACCTGAGGCTGTTACTTGAGGTAAGTGAGCTCATCCAGGGATGTCTGACCAATCGAGCTTTTGAGAAAGAAACTGATAGACTGAAGTTTTCCCTTTCTCAAGGGAAGGAGGGTGGATTGTGACAAATTGTAAGTTAGAAAAAAGGAATAGTAAAAAGAAAAAAAAGGTAAACTATTGTAAACAGACAAGTTTGGAATTTATGCATGTAATATAGGGCAATGCTTTTCTATCTCGTATGAGTCATGGTAGTGATTCCAGCAGTTTGATTTTGAGAAGCGCCACTGTTGACTATGCAAGCATATAAGGATTAAGGAGGCAGAGTTCGAAACCCTGATGGTTTCTTTATATAGAATTGAGGGAAATGTCTGGCAGTCCGCGAGGTCTCGGTTGCAGATTTCACTCAATTATTGCTTGCCACTTCATATGGGAAGAACTGGCTCCTCTCACTGTTCTTTGATTTTCCTAAAATCGAAGACCAAATAATTACAAAGATCTAGAGGTTCAAGAGGGGTATTGGAAGAGATCCAAGCGGTAAGTGTCAGGTCTGTTCTTTAAAGCGCCGTTTCCCTCTTCTTTATGGCACAATCAAAAGAAAGGAAGAAAAACCCTAAAAACAGGGCGGGGGGGGGACATATTAAGAAATTGAGAGGGTTCTGAAAGAAAAGTGGTTTAGATCAACCATCTTTCCTGGCTTCATTGGTTAATTGAATGGCATTTTCTTGTGTTATAACAAACACAAGAAGATATTGTTGTATTGTTTCTTAGTTATATCAGGCGAATTTTTAACTAAAAATGTTGAAGTGGACTGTGGAGAGATTGCAGCGGTGGCGTCTGAGAATGACGATGGTCGTTTATCAAGTGGACCAGTAGTTCAGCCCGGGTCTCCTGTAAGCAAATACTCTGCACGCAATGTAAAATTTAGGGAGAATGATGCTTCAGCCCAGGGTCAGAAATTTTAGGCCCAAAGTACAGTTGGGGTGGGTGCCAGTTCAGGAATAGATGTCAATTTACGGGTGGGAATTGGTGTGGAGTGGGGGGTTTTTGACATTTTGAATGTTTATATCCAAGGTTCAAAGTATCGGAAAGATAATTTTGAGAGACGTATTGGGATACACTTTGGATATGTATGGATACGAACGAAAAATTAAAATACACATAAATATGCTAAAAAGCTTAAATAAATCCTAGAAAATATATTAATAACGATAGTTACAAGTTTTAGACGATTGTAAATAAGTTATTTAAAAGTAAAAAACTGTAATTTAATGGTCTATATAAAATTTGAGATATTGAGACACACTTAGTAACTATTGACAAATGATGGAATAACGTGAAAAAAAAAACTAAAATGTATATTGATATACATTAGTTTTAAAATAATCAATATAATTTATCCTAATATTTATTAATACATACATTTTAATAATTAATTCTAACATTTATTGATAAGCATGCACTAAGAAAAAGAGAAAAGTTACTTAAAAAATAAAAATGCATAAACAAATAACAAGCAAATGGGTGTGGCTTAGTGGTGAACCTCTAGTTCTTAAAGCCTAATGTTTAGGGTTCGAATCTTGCTATTGCTAATTTGTAGTATACTAACAAAACGAAATTAATGAGAAGAGAATTCCAATTAGGCGCTAAAATTGAGATTCAAAGTTTTGTGTATCGGACTTGTACCGGAATGATACGTATCGACTGATGCGTTGCGGAATTTTGAACATTGTTTATATCTCTACAGTGGAAATCTGAAATCTGCATTGGGCCTATTCGTACTTCTTTATAAAATTTATAGGGGGGATGTTGATGTCAGTGTTCAGAGTGCGTGCAAGAGATCCTGTTGCTCAAGTGTTCTCCCTATGTATCATTATCACGCATGAGAAAACTTACCCTGGAACTCTTGCAAACAAAATCTTACATGGCATCCAACTGCATATTGGCATGTTTCCTCTATATAAAAGGGTAACACGAGGCTCCCGTCAATGTAGGCTCTAGGAAGGGATAGATGCAAACAGCCTTATTCCTGCACACATGGTTTTTAAAACCGACCCGGTGATCGAACCGGTCAGGGGTCTGGTTATCGGGTCGAACGGTCTGACCGTTTGAAATGAATGATTGGTCCGTTCTGGCAGAGAAAAAAAAAACGGTCAAAACCATTCGAATGATTAACCACCCTGTTCAGCGGTTCGCTGACCAAAATCAATAGTCAGGTGATTGGTTCCCTGTTTTTCTGGTTTGATTGTCCAGTTAGGTCTAGTTTTGAAAACCATGCCTACACATATAAGAGGTTGTTTATAAGATTTGAACCCTATATCCTAGATCACGGTGGAGCAATTCAATCATTGAGCCCAGGCCCACTCTCGTGCACAAGGAGATGTTTCCAATGTACATTTAGATTCCAATGTTTGTGGAGTGTGTAGAGTTTTTGCTTGTAGAGAATCCAATTGCGAGAAAAATGTCTTTTCGCCTTTCATTTTCTTTTATATAAACTAATGAATAAACATTAATGATTTTTATTACCATTTTTTATTACTATTTATAAACTGCCATTTTTTAAGACACTCATGCAGTCTACAGGTCCACATAAATTGACCCTTATATGTCAAATCCGTAAAATTATACGGGTCATTAAATTCAACTTGAACTTTTTATTACTTTAATTTAACCATTCTTATTATTAATATTATTAATTTATTTTAGTATTTAATTTAATTTTTTTGCTATATAGTAATAATATTAACTAAATTTGTAATTATTTAAATATTTACTTAAAATATTTTTTTTCCAACCGAGTATAATTATTATATAATAGATTTGTTAATTCATAATTTGCATTTAAGAATAAACATTAATGATTTGGCTTGACAATTTTAATGATTGTTAATAAATATTGATTCTTATTTAAGGTTTAATTATTGTATTTGGTAATTATTATGGGGCATGCTTTGAATAAAATTAATGATAACTGATGATTGTTATTTCATTTTTTATTATTTATTTAATTAAGTACTTGATGATTGTTATTATTATTAATTATTTCTATAAATAATTGATTGTTATTATTATTTACTTAATTCAATAATTTTTAGCAAGTAATTATTTGATTTAATTTGAATTTTTTTCATTTTGTTAATTATTTATAATAGACATTTAGGGTAGGCTCTTTATTTGATTTAAGAGACTTACCATGTTTTATCTAGACAATGACCCCAAACTAAGGGGTAACTATAGTATCATTTAATTTTAAATTTACTATTTAACAATAAAAAATCAATGTCCTCTTGAGCAACCCACCCCCAAAAAAGTATCAATAACTTTGAAATCATTAATCTATTTATAAAATAGTAAAATTAGATAGATGTTTACAACGATATCACCAATGCATCCATCATTTGAAGTAAGAGATGAAAAATATATGACTACAATCAAATCATCATCATGTATCGCTATAATCAACTGATAATATAATCAGGACTCCAAAGCCCATCCAATAGATGAAACATGAAAGAAAGGAGAATAATGAAACCATCATGAGTATGGAAGTCACTTCCAAGTTAGGTGGCAACACTTCTTTTGGTTGATCATGATTATGGATTTTAAGTCTAATCTCCCCACAATGCACGTAGACTAGGTAGAATTTATCTTTAGGAAAAAGGTGGGAAAACCTGTAGTCAATTAGAATACTCATAGATTTTTAGTTCATTCATTTAGTGGTAATTTGAATATTTTTTTGTTCCATGTCTTTATTGAGTAATATAGATTAACAATATATTAATAATTATGAAATCAGTAATAATAATAAGTCTACTATTATTACTATTATTTACTAATAATATATTCTTATTATGTGTATTGATTTTTAAATCAGTAATATTAAATTATTATTAAGTAATTAATTTGTTATAATTACGACTTTTAGTTAATTCCTGAAATAATAATTGCTTTTATAATTCTTTTACTTTAACAATAATGAATAATTGAATGTTTATAATTTAACTTTCACTAAATGAAATATTTATTGGAGAATAATAATAGTATTAATTATAATTACTTATAATAATAATAATAATGTAAATAAGTAACACTAATTATATATTTATAAAATAATTAATATGAATTAATATAAATATAAAATGATTATATCCCAATTGATAATTAATATTATTAAAATACTTATTGATTATCATTCCAAAGTAATAATTATCATTGTTATAATTAAGGAATTAATTATCAATAAGTAATTATAATCTGTAATTAATTTTTATCAAAAATCATTATTATTAGTAATAATTAATTATAATTATTGATAATAATAATATAATTATATAAATTAATATAATTATTAATTATAATTTTTTATAATAATTCTAATATAAATAATTAACATTAAATACTTATTTTCAAAATAATTAATATGAGTTAATATAAATATAAAATGATTATTTCTGAATTATTAATTACCATTATGAAAATCATTATTAATTATCATTCTGAATTAATAATGAGAAATATTATCAGTAATTAAGTATTAGTAGTAATTATTATAAGAAATTATTATCAATAATTAATTATTATTAGTGATTTATTATTATTAGTAATTAATAGCAGAAATTAATTAATTAGAAGTCATTAATTATTATTAGTACCCCCTCTCTTTCAAAAAGTTGATTCATCATCATCATCATCATCAATGACAACAACTTGATAAATACATAGTTCGATAAAAATAGGTAAATATCATTAATTTATTTATTTTTATCTTTTGAAAAACTGAATAAGAGAAAAATAAAATGGTTAGCATTGCAAAAGAAAAATTATTTGGATTTTTGCAAAAAAAAATTATTGAGCATAAAAAACCAATTATTCAAAAATAAGGTTGTTAATCAAAGAGTAATTAAAATTATTCAGTAAATAATAATTTTAAGAAATTAAAATTAATAATTAATTATATGTCCGATTTAAAATGGGTAATTTCAACAAATAATTTTAAATAATTAAATTTTGCTATTAACATTTTTTAATAATAATCAGTATTATGAATAGATTAATAATATATTAATAATTATGAATCAGTAATAATAATAAGTATATTATTATTATTATTATTATTATTATTAACTAATAATATATTCTTATTATGTGTGTATTGATTTTGAAATCAGTAATATTTTTATTAAGTAATTAATTTGTTATAATTACGATTTTTAGTTAATTCATAAAACAATATTTTCCTTTATAGTTCTTTAAGTTTAACAATATTGAATAATTGAAAGTTTTATAATTTAACTTTCACTAAATGAAGTAGTTTTTGGAGAATAATAATAGTATTAATTATAAATAAGTAACACTAATGTATGAATTATAATTTTAATATAAAATGATTATATCCCAATTAATAATTAACATTATTAAAATACTTATTAATTATCATTAATTAATTAACATTCTGAAGTAATAATTATCATCATTAGTATTAGTAATTATTAATTATAATTATTGATAATAATAATATAGTTATATTAATTATAATTACTTATAATAATAATATAAATAATTATTTCATATAAATGTATGAATTATAATTTTTGATAATAATTATAATATAAATAATTAACATTAAATATTTATTTTCAAAATAATTAATATTAGTTAATATAAATATAAAATGTCTATTTCTAAATTATTAATTACCATTACGAAAATATTTATTAATTATCATTTTGAATTAATAATGAGCAATATTGTCTGTAATAAATTATCAGTAATTAAGTGTTAGTAGTAATTATTATAAAAAATTATTTTTCCGAATTAATAATGAGCAATATTATCACTAATTAATTATTATCAACAATTAAGTAATAGCAGCAATTATTAAACGAAATTATTTTCAGTAATTAATTATTATCAGTGAGTAATTATTATTAGTAATTAATAGTTGAAGTTAATTAATTAGAAGTAGTTAACGGTAATTAATTATAAATTAACAATAATTATTATTAGTAATTAATAGATGTACTTAATTAATTAAAAGTAGATTATTATTAGTAATTAATAGCTGGAATTAATTAATTAGTTTAGTAGTTAACAGTAATTAATAGTACAACTTCCTTTTTTTTTAGGAAAGTATTGAAAGTGGGAGCTTCCCACTTCCCATAACTCTGCATGGTGGTGGGTTCTACTCTGTATGTTAGTGGGCTTTTTTCTTGAACTACCACTAATAAGAATTTGACATGTGCCCATTTTGTTTAAATCTTTGGAATGACATGTGTCTGAATAGAGGAGAACCACATGCCTGACTGGGGGAGGCTTTGGCCTGAAATAATTCTTTTAATATATATGTTAGATTTGGGGCTAAATAATTTTACTCCTTACAACAAAGAAAACAAAGTCAAATGTAAAGAAAATCAGATTTTATACTCAAGAGTATTTGCATTTTTATGCATTTGCAGCAATGCCAATGAAATTTACACCAGTTTGCAATGCAATTCAGAACCAGATGCACATCTTACACTGAGTTCAAATTTGCATCTATTTGTTGGTGATTGTGATTCCTATCTGATGCAAATTTTGCACATTTTATCTCATTTTCATTCATTGTCATTGCAAATTTTGCATCTCAAAGCTATTCCAATATTACCTTCCTTTTGTACTTCTATGCATTTTACACTAGTGCAAATAAAGTGCAGCAAACATACGGAATTAAGTGTAATCCAATTAGTTTTAGTGCAAGCAAAACAATGGGATTCCATGCAAGCAAAAGTTCTGTACAAGTATGGAAATCCAGGTCACATTGGGACAATTTCCCGTGAATTTAATATAATGTATAAGAGATGTTCCCTATATGCCGGATGCAACATTTGGTTATTTATTGGGCCTGACCAAAGTAATCGAAGTGCAGGATGAGAACAAGCGCAGAAGCAACAGATACCCACAACTGGAATGGAAACGAATAGGATCCGCATGACATTACAACTGTATATTAGAAACATCTCCCTATACAAAGAGATCAGATCTCACCGGAAGGGTGGGTTATAATTCCCCGAAACTACCTGTCACTCCGGCTTATCAAAATAAATAAATAAATTAATTAATTCATGCCAATGGATACACATGAAATGCATTTTCAGATTTAAGGAGATTGGCAGCCTATGATAGTTTTTGTTTCATCAACCACAAGAAAACCATGGTGGTTGTTTTCAAAACCGGACTGGACCAGACGGTCAGACTGGAAAAACCAGAAATTGGTCAGCGGACTGATTTCGGTTTTCCCCAAAACTAGATTTTCTTAAAAAACCGTTGATTTTGGTCAGCAAACTGCTGACCCAGGCGATTAACCATCTGAACCGTTTGAACGGTTTTGACCGTTTTTTATTTTTTTATTTTTTGTCAGAATGGGCCGACCGTTCGACCCGGTAACCGAACCCCTGACCGATTCGGTCTCTGGGTCGGTTTTAAAAACCATGGCCTGCACAATCAGTTTATGTGATCCTAAGTTCCTAACCGTCTAATTGGAGACCTTTATTGGTATAAGCAAGACAATCCAACTATTTCACGCGGAGCAATTGTTCAGTTACAGCCATTCAAAGAGGTGCTTATTGGCTACTCCAATAAATAGGAGTTGCTGCTGAATACGATGGATATTACAAGATGTCATAAACATCAATACGAACTACTATTGTTTGGAACTTGAAGAGGAAATAAACATCGTTTGTTTGGAACTCTCAAAAATTCAGATTGGCCAGGTGGAAAAACACGAACTACTATTGTATCATGATCCATGACTTGCATACCAAGAACCCAAACTTCTTCCATTAAACTAGAAACGAGAAACAATGCAAGGCTTCAGTATCTGTGTTCCAATTTCTCCTTCTCCTTGTAGTTCTGGACATACCTGCACCCAGTTGCATATAACAGGTATAAGAAATTTTACCATTGGTGCCTAAACTTCTGTCAATCATAATCAATAAAATGAAATTTCAAAGATTCAATATTAACAAACTCCATATCTCTCAGTCAGCATAAAGCTTCCATAAGTACAAGCAATTATTAAGGATCCAATAAAATGTGGTAACTTCTATTCAAATCCCATTCACTCGTTATTTTATGATAACAGTTCAGAAATTTTATTGCAAATCAAAATCAAGGAAAAAATGACATTTTTAGCAGCTAGTTAGCTGGAGTGAAGGTGGGCTTTGGCGCAATGGTTGGGTTGCTCCATTGCGACCTGGGTGGCCAGGGTCCAAATATTGGAAACAGCCTCTCTGTATGTGCAGGGGTAAGGCTGCATACATCTGTCCCTCCCCAGACCCTGCATTGGCAGTGGCAAGACCCTCACGCACTGGGCTGCCCCTTTTATCTGGTTAGCTGGAATCAACTAGCAGGTCAGAAGTACATATAGGAAGAACACAAAATTTTGAATCTTCATCTGCTTACCAAGGCAGACCGCAGACCACCAATATAAGTCAGTTCTGCTGGCCCCTTCTTTTGGTAGAGGCCTAGAAAATCATCACTCTAGAGACCCCATCTAAATGGGATGTTCAAACTGGATGACATCTTACTTTCCTAATGCTATGGGTGAAGGACCATGGAGATGGCTTAATCACCTCTCAGTCACTCATTACAAAGTTTTGAATCCCTTTCCACTACAAGTTACTTGACCCAGTATGGATGGTAATGATTCCACCTGCTCATTTTCTGAAAATCACTCCAATACTATAATTACTGGTTACTGATGCTGCACCTATCAAAGTTGAGTTTGATTTTGTAAGGTGCAGGTAGTTCCCAAGGTAGATAACTATTTGTTCTTGACTTGGAGGATGAGAATATTCCATGCCATCCTATCTTCATTATCTATTCCATAGCCACTGATAAAAATGTTGGACCCAAAACCAAGGATGTTTTCCTAATGGTGAGAATCTTTATGGAAATGGTAATTATGTCTGATCCTCCACTAAGAGGGGAGCCGAATAATTGATCCAGACTCACCACAACCACAACCGCAACCGCAACCATGACATCACTAGTCTATGGCTTTAATAAGCAAGTCAAAATGTTCAACAAGCACAGAATAGGGGATCAGAAAAAATAACAGCAAAACAATTAGCCACACTTTCCGTCCGTTATTAATAAAAACAAGAAGACTGAGGCTCTTTTATTTAGCTAGCAATCCACGTTTTATTATTTGAGTTTTAGAGGTGATTTGCATCGATTTCCATCTACATCACTGAAACTTGCAAATTAGATTAGCACACCGAAAGAAACAAATAAACAGAAATAAGCAAAAGTGGATTCAGATTATCAACAAATTAGAAAGTTAAATCGAATCCATCAATCGATTACAAGAATAAACACAACTCAAACAATCAATCAAGTTGAAACATTGAGAGAACCCACCAATATATGCCAAGACAAGAAAAACCCGGTTCAAATAACCAATCAAATTGGAAACATTCAACAGAACCCTATCAACCCATAACAAATCGAGTAAACACCAACTTAGATAATCAATCAATCCGAAAGATTGATAGTATCCACAAATCAGCTACCACTCACGAAAAGAAGCAAAACTCAGTTCGAATAACCAATAAAAGTTAAAATAAAAATCAATAGGTTCTATCAAACCATCTAAAAGACGCAATCAATAACCAATCAAATCGAATCGTTATCAAATTTCGAGGTTCTCCATGAGAGAGAGAGAGAGAGAGAGAGAGAGAGGTGCTTACGTATATGTCCCAACGAGGGGTGTAAGAAGGAGAGCGGCATTGACCCAGTTCTCAGAGACCTTATGGTGAATCTTACTCGGCAAATCCTTCCACAACCCCGACATCACCTTCTGCTGGAACGGCGACAGAGCATACACCACCGCTTTCATCCTTACCGGCGTCTTCCCCATTCTCTATCTTCAGACGCCTCCTCACGTTAGCAGTTAGCACAAGTCCCCTCTTGATGATGCTCCTCGGAGTTTCGCCTCTTTCGTCTATGCTCTTGCGCCTTGCATTTCCCCTCCCACATCTCTGATTTTCTCCGTCTCCCTGTTTGGCTGTTTAACCCGGGAAAACTTTGGCTGTCCATCTTCAAACAGCCTCTGCTGTCCACGGGCTCTCTCCACGCGACACGTTAATCCATACCATAAGCCATGCCTTTCGCACTGTTACTGTTGACGGAATCATATGGACTAACGTGTCACGTAGAGAGAGTCCCGTGGATAAAACAGACTGTTGAACGTAGAAAGCAACATGCAAAATTATTTCCCAAAATACTTGAAGTTTCGTTTGTCGTTTTTCCAATGTCCATATCAACGCTCATCAACCGCGCGTTGGGGTAGAACTTTGTATTGGTTCCAAAGATCTAGAGCTTTTATTTTGGTGCCACGGTGCATCATACGTGTCACCGGCTGGCTACGGTTCGAGTCCGTGGCGGACGACGAGCTGAATACCTTGCCTGAGACTGGGAGATTCTCCAACCGAGAATCGTAGAAACAAGAAAATCTTAAGGGACCGGACCCTAATTAACTTACGAACTAACGAAGAAGAAAGGAAGAATTCGCCATGAAGATCCTCCCCGTTCTTTGCCTTGAAGACAACTACTCGTACATGTAAGTTCTTCGCAGTTTGGACCAACTAGTTAGGGTTTTACGACGATCATGCATTTCTTATCGTCGCCTCTTGTATTGCAGAATCATCGACGAGACATCTAAAGAAGCTGCGGTTGTCGATCCCGTGGAGCCAGAGAAGATCCTTCGGGTGGCTGCCGAGAATGGCGTTGATCTCAAGCTCGTTCTCACCACTCATCATCACTGGTAGCCTACTGTTTTGGTTTGGTCACTGATATGTTGATTCTTGCTGAAACTGTAGATTTTGAAGTCTATGGGTTCTGCGTGGTTGATGTTTCGAATCATTTGTTCACGTTCGATTCATAATTCATAGTTTGTAGGTTGGCTAGTGAATCCAAACACCAAGATTCATAATTCATTCAGTTGATGCCATCGATTAACTAGGTTTAGGGTGCCAATTTACTAAGTTTACAAGGAATATTTGCTGCTATCATGAGAAAGAATGCTTCAAGAATTGAAGTGAAAAGAATGGTTGGACATAACAAGGTCCAAAGTAGTGAGAAACGACTTGAAACTGTAATAGTGTATCTTCCATTAATTGTCAAAAAAAGGATATTCACATGAGAGGGTTACTCGCTGAATTAGAAATGTCTTGTATTAACGGTTGTATGTAGCAGAGTGTTGGGCAGTCAAAAACAAAATATAGTGTGGCAGAAATGTGTATGAGTAGTGAGCAAATGGGTAGGTTCTACCAGGAACCAAACGGAAGTGACCTCGAACCAGCCAACCCTAAGGGTTCAGTTCCAAATCTTGGAACCAACCCCCACCCAGGCCAGTTTCAGGGTCCAGGGGTTTACCCTATCCAAACCGACCCAGATAACCAGTGTTGGAACCAAACTGGCCTTGAAAAAAATCCCAAAATACTTTGAGGATGTGAAGATTTGAACTCACGCAATCATGGTTGCAAAGACTATGGTGATCATGGGTTAAAAAATCCCAAAACACTTGACCATTGAGTCACTTAAGCAATTTGATAAATTTTCTTCAGTTTAATGTTTGAATGTGTATAATAAGTAATGTAAAAGGTAATATTACAAGATTTAAATTATAATAATAAGTTTTGAACTATATATTAATATACTATGATAATCTACAGATTAAATTACTTAATTTAATTGATAAAGGTAGGTTCCACCTTCCAGGTTTTGCCTTGGAACTGAACTGAACTAATCCGTGATTACGCTTATGTGTATGCTGAGATGAATGAGTGAAAAACTAGAAAAGATAGTATCAGAAATAAAGTTGTTCAAAGGAACCAATAGGTGATAAAATGAGAGAAAGTAGATTAAGATGGTTTTGATCACATGCATAGAAGACCATCAACCGCACCCGTAGGAATGAGTTGTTGTAAGTTGAAGTAGCTAGAAGGGCTAGGGGTAGACCAAAAAGGACATGGCTAGAAGTAGTAAGAAACGATTTGAGTGCCAATAATTTTACAATGGATATAGCATTAAACAGAACAGAATGGCAAAACAGGATTCATGTAGCCGACCCATATAGTTGGGAGTTGGGACAAGGCTTAGATGATGATGATGATGATGATTCTCAAAAGTAAGATGTATACTCAACGTGTACTTTTCTAGTAAATTGTTCTTGTCCTTGACATGCATACCTTTTTTTTTAATCCAGTTTTTCAGTTTGACATTGATTTGTTTTCTTAATGAGTCTTTTCTTCACTAGCAATTTGAGTTTAGATTTTCTTTTTTTTTTCAGTAATTCAATCTGCAGACGTATGATTCATGATAATTGTGGATGATATAGGTTTGTTTTTTGTGTCTCTAGCATTTTGTTTTGTGATATGTTTTGAACACTTAAAAGCTGTTATTTTTGTTAAAACCATAACAAGGTTATGCATTAGCTTGGGTATGTGTTGGTTAGTTCTACAAAAATGAAATTCTGAGATACTGTTATTCATGGATGGTCTTTGTGATTTTAAAAAACTAGAGATGTCCATCCTTTTACTTTTATTTCAGATTTAAAATGCATTTTCCTTACAGTTAGCTTGTATTAGCTTGGGTATGTGTTGGTTAGTTCTACAAAAATGAAATTCTGAGATACTGTTATTCATGGATGATCTTTGTGATTTTAAAAAACTAGAGATGTCCATCCTTTTACTTTTATTTCAGATTTAAAATGCATTTTCCTTACAGTTAGCTTGTATCTTTTAAATAGGGACCATGCTGGTGGCAACAATGAGATAAAGAAGCTGGTTCCTGGAATTAAAGTTTATGGTGGTTTGGTAGATAATGTGAAGGGATGCACAGATAAATTGCAACATGGTGATAAGCTGAAACTGGGGAGGGATATTGATATATTATCGCTTCACACCCCTTGGTATGCTTTACATCCTTTGTTCCAAATAACTATATCCTGCTGAATTTGTTCTGCTTCAGCTGTGCTCTCAGGCAATATTTTGAAAGGATTTCTGATTAGAAAAAAATTAAGATAATGTGCTGATAGAATCAACTTCTTCTCTCCTTAATCAAATATGGGTAGTGGGTGAGGCATGTGTATAAGAGACTTAAGATGAATCCCAAATAAATTTTCCAATAACCTAAGGTGAACCCCAAACAAGAGGTAGAATCTAATATTGCAATATGACACCGAGTTTCACATTCAAGGACTTTAATGTAATATCAGACTCATTGAGGGTCTTTTTTGTAATTCTAGATAATTGTAATATTAATATATATAAAGAGAGTCTTCTCTTCTAATTTTTCTCACCATATTCATGACAAAATGGTATCAGTTCAACAAGAATGTTTTCATGATGATGAAGAAAGCGTTGATGATGGTGTGGTGCCTTCAGATTTTCTATTTAACTTCATATCTATTTATTTATTTAGTAGTCAGACCCGTAAAATGCATGAGTTTTGTTAAGAGAAATTGAAGTATCCCTATGACATTCTCAATTGAGCCAAGTCAGTCAAAGTCCAACTCAAACATTATTATTTGGGTTATGTCTAGCCGGTCTAGCTACAATTCAAGTCTCAGCCTAATGGGGGTGGCCAAATTTTGTATTAATTTTTATGATTTTTAAATGGATTCTAAATTAGCAAAAATTAAACTTAAAATGAATACAATTTTATTATTTTTAATTAATATATAGAGTCTATAAGGGGACTGGTCGAACTTCTGTATAAGGATTCTTCTTTTGGTGGGTGCCCTGGGTCTTTCTTTCTTGAGCTGTTGGGACTTGGATTATTTCTCATATTTGCAATGTTTTTTCTTTTGAGTTCTATTTTATTTTATTATTATTTTTTATTGGAAACAGTAACTTTCATTAAGGATATCAAATAAACATCTTACACTGTCAACCACTCAGACAAAGAGTGTTGACCCCAAACAACATCAAGAGTCACAATACAGCCCCAAAAAAAAATTTCCCTGAATGTCCCCTGCTTTGCCAAGCTATCTGCCCCAGAGTTGGTTGATCTCCTTACCCATTTGAATATTACTCCACCTTCCCTTGCCAAGTAGATTATTCCCTTGTTTGCTATCTAAAATTCCATACACCCAACTTCTTTGTTTGCAGCCACCCTATTAACAATTTAGAGTCCCCTTCCACTTCCAAGTTCTGAAATCCCCATTGCTTGGCAAACCTCAGGCCTTGTAGGAGAGCCAAAATTTCAGCTCTCAAAGAGTCTTCCACTCCTATGGGACCAGAGTATAGTGCCACCATTCTGCCCTCCCCATCCCCGACGATGGAGCTTCCATCAAAGTTTAATTTTACCCTTTGTTGTGCTGTAGGTGTCCAAGAAGGCTAAAGAACAAGCTGTTTGGATGAAGAGTTTGCCATTACTGACCAACCCCTTTGTATATCATCCACTGAAAAGTCTTTAAATCAATGTTTTAAAACACAGAGGCATGATGCGAGGCGTTCCACTACCTAGAGGCGTGAGGCGTAGTTCAGAACGCAAGAGGCGTAAGCCTCCCGAACACAAGGTGGAGTAAGTCTCCTTAAGAGGAGGGGGGTTAGGAGGAGGAAGGGGGGATCTCATTTTTTCTTTATTTTTAATAAAAATATTTTATATTAAGAAGAACAAAGATGCATAACATTAGTGGAAAGAGGGGGTCTTTTTGCCCCCCAGCTGAAGGGGCAGGGGGCAAACCACTTTCTTTCCCCTTATCTTTTCTTCCCTTCCCTTCCCTTCCCTTTCCTTTTCTTTTCTTTTCTCTTTTTTTCTTCTCTTTCTTTTTCTTTCTCTTCCCTTCCTTTCCTTTCCTTTCCTTTCCTTTTTTTTTCTTTTTTCTTTTATTCTTTTTTTTTTCTTTTTATATAAGATGTGCATGAGGCACATGAGGCGTATACCTCTAGCATGCCTCATGAAAAAAGTGCATGAGGCATATGCCTCAGAGGTGTCAGCGCCTTTGGCATACGCCTTAGGGTGTTTTGGGAGCGCCTCCAGGCATATGCTTCCTACGCCTTTTAAAACACTGCTTTAAATAAGTCACTTACTTTCAGCCAATGTATGACTTTAATGGCTACACAGTCAATGATTTGTTCTATTGATCTTTGTGCCCCTTGGAATATTATGCTATTCCTTTCTTCTCTTAAAGACCAAAGAATGACTTCTCTTGTTGCCCTCCACATCACTCTTCCCCTTTTCTTTGGTAGTAGGGAGAAACTTGGGTTGAAAAGACTTGTCATGTCCGGGAGAGGGGTCCACCTGTAGCCAAATAAGGAAGAAAACCAACTCCACACACAAGAAGCAAAGGGACAAGAAAGTAAAAGATGTGTTATTGTCTCACCATTTCCCAAACAAAGGCAACAAACACGAGGGGAGAGGCAGTGATTCAGCCTCCTTTTTTGTAAATTATCTAGAGTATTAATTTTCTGGAGCACCACCTCCTAGAAAAAGGCTCTTATTTTTGGGGGTACAGGATTACACCAGACTTCCTTTGTAGGAAAGGAGCCTCCTGGGTGCGAGGATTGAAGGAGGGCGGAGAAGAAAGAGGCATAGGTAAAGGAGCCAGAAGGGTACTCTAACTAGATCCTAATGTCCTGACAAGAGAGGTCCAGTAATGCAGTATTACGAAGGGAGATAAGATCATCTACTAAGTCCATTTCAGATTCCTTTAACGCTCTCCTTAATCCTAGATCCCAAGAGTTTTCATTAACAAGCACTGAAGAAATCACTCTCCCTTTGTTGAGGGACAAAGAATAGATAGGTGGAAATCTGTCTTTGAGAGGAGTGTCCCGAAGCCAGACATCCTCCCAGAAACGTACTTTGTTACCCATACATGCATCATACCTGACCAGCGGAAGGAAAATTGGTAGCAAACTATGAATTTCTTTCCAAGGAGAAGCCTTTTTTGCCTTAGGATTGAGACCAGCGTTCCATCTGTTGTCTGCAATGCCATGAGCACTTGCAATTACATTATGTCATAACTTCTCTTTCTCTAAAGGAAACCTCCACAGCCATTTACCCAACAGTGCCATGCTCCTAAGTTCTATTTTATTCATAAAAGAGACTTTTGGCTATCAGTCATTGTCTTTGTATGACATCAATACTATGAAGAGACATGCGTGCCTTTGTATTGATTTCAAACTTTGTATGAATGATAGCAGTAGTGTCTTTGTATGACATCAATACTATGACGAGTAGCAAGTCTTTTCATGGGGGAGTTCTTTTCATTGATTACATTATTAGCTGTTCAGCTGCTAGAGCACAAATCCCTTGGCTATCAAGTTTTATACCACATAGAATGGATTCTAGCTCTATAATATGAACTGAATGATGCACTGCACAATCTTGTGTAACCCACTAGTGCTATCAGTCATTATCTTTGTATGACATCAATACTATGGTTGAGCAACTAAAATGGACTTCTTAATAAGGCATCAGCCAAACAACTTCTAACAGTGTAGGTTCACATTAAGAAGCCCACTTGCACTCCAAAAAAGTTGCTGTCTAGTCATCCCTTTCTTTTCCAAAGTGTCCACCATTGTATCGGTAGCTTGATGCACACAATGAGAGCGCTTGATAATGTTTGTTATTGAAGCTTTTCCCTCATGATTGTTTTTTTTTTTTTTGATAAATGAGTGAAATTTTATTAAACCAGCAAATCAATTTGGAAGATTGGAAGGTAAAGGCTATAGTAGGTTCTCTAGAGTGTTCCGTGTCTGGTTGACCTTTAACCTACTTGGGTCTTCCTTTAGGAGCTAACCCAAAAGAAAGTTGGTTCTGGTATCCAATTATGGAAAAGTTTGAAAAGAGGCTAGCTGCTTAGAAAAAGGTTACATTTCGATAGCGGGTAGAGTGACCTTGATTAGGGCGACACTTGCTAGTCTTCCGGTTTATTTTCTTTCTATATTCAAGATACCCTCAAGGGAAGCCAAGAAACTAGAAAAGATGATGAGGGATTTCTTGTGGGAGCTAGGGGAAGAGAAGAAGGATAATTTGATTAGGAGGGAGATAGTCAGTAGGAGTAAGGAAGAAGGGGGATTAGGACTGGGAAATCTAGTTCTTAAGAATGAAGCTCTACTAGGGAAGTGGCTTTGGAGATGGCCGTTAGAGAGAGAGAGAGAGGTTGTGGCACAAGGTGGTGGATAGTATTCATGGCTGTTTGCAGAACGGTTGGGATGCCAGGGTATCTCGACGGGTGAATCTTGCAACACCCTGGAAAGCCATTCACAGAATTCTACCCCATTTTCTCAATCTGGTAAGGTATGATGTTAATTCTGGACACAATGTTCTTTTTTGGGAAGTCATTTGGGTGGGCAGCCAACCTCTTAAAGACCTTTTTCCCTCTCTTTACTCTCTTTCCCTTTATAAGGAAGAGCCGGTTTCCAGTTTTATTTCCTTTAGATTCTTCTGTGGCCCTAAACTGGGATTTTGGTTTCCGTAGAGGGTTATGTGATGATGAAAGTGCTTGTGTTTCAGATTTATTGTCTTCACTTGAGTCTATTTGTTTAGATCCCCTCAAACCTAACACAAGAATTTGGACCCCTAACCCGAAAGGTTTTTTCACTTGCTCCTCTTTCTTCAAGTCCCTTTGTTCCACTTCTACACCTTAGAATTTCCCAGTTAAAGAATTTTGGACTAGGCCCATTCCCCCAAGATTGTTGTTTTTTGTTGGGAAGTTTATTATGGTAAGATTAACACCTTTGAAAACCTACAAAAGAGAAGACCAAATTGGTGCTTATCCCCGAATTGGTGTGTTCTTTGTAAATCTCAGAATGAGGACTGTCACCATTTACTGATCTCTTGCTCCTTTGCTACAACTTTATGGAATTGGATTCTTACGTTGTTTGAGTGTAGGTGGAACCTGCCATCTGATACTAGCTTGTTGTTTAGTCCATCTGTTTTTGAATGGCACACAAAGAGAGG